TCATTTCCACTACCATTTTTAATATTATTTGTTTTTCTATATGTAATTTATTCTGGGCATATTAGTTTTAAAAAATACGAAATTGAGAATTTTAAAAATCTACAATTAGTATATGTCACATGATTTTAATAATAACCTGCGGCAATAATATGGAAAATTTTCCGTCAGTGTATACATAGTACCTGACGGATAAATCAGTATTATTTATCAGTGACTACATATTTCATTATTATTTATCAGCGACTACGTATAAATAATATCATTATTGTTTTTTTTTTATTTTTTTCTTATTATTGATACTTTCGTTAAAAATGTCTACTTATAACAAAAGACGAAATATATCTGATTCTAATATTTCCGACTCTAATGAAATCAATAAATCTTCAGAAGAAGAAGAGGTTATTCATTTGGACTTATCTGGAAAGATCAGTTGGGAGTGAGCTTTTTTTCGACAAGAACTTCGTTAAAAAAACAGGCAAATGAATAAAATATTCAATATGTAAAATTGAAGTATTACATCCACCCCAAGTGAATGTTTATTTAGTGATGCCAGTAACTTAATGACATCAAAGAGAACAAGAATTTTTCTGGAACTTTTTAAAAGAATAATGCTTTTAAAAAGGAATATTGATCAATATCAAAATATTCATCCTGAATAATATGTTATTATTTAGCATTAGTGTTTTTATTCATCCTAAATAATATGTTATTAGCGTTAGTGTTTATTCATGAATAATATATTATTATTTAGCGTTAATAGTAGTATAAGTTTATATACATAATATAATTGTAAACTTATATGTACGTGTTAATTATGGCAATAGAATTGTTGTTGTGCATTGAGAAAAATAAATATTTTATTTTTTTACATTATCGTTATTGTTATTAAAATATTATACCGGATATAATATCTGCAAAAAGGATAACGGATAATTAATGTCAGGTTCAGATATATCCGTTTAAAAAATATCTACGTAAATCCGGATATAGTTATCCGGATCGCTATTCTACTTCAGTGAAACAATTGTCGGTGAAATGAACTTGTCGGTAAGTCAATTGTCAGTGCAATGAACTTGTCCGTGAATTAATTGTCGGTGAACTAAGCTGTGAAGTGATTGTCGGTGAAATAACACGTACCCATTTATTTACGTTAATTTTACTCAATTAAGTATTCATTTCATCTAAATTAATTTGCGAATTTGTATTCATTTATTTAATTTAACTATGTGAATGTATATGTTGTAAGTGGAAGCGGAATTTAAGTGAATTCAGAATTTATATAAAAAACCCATTTTCGGGGTTGATTTTATCATATGTACAACCTAACCCTAACCCTAATTTAACTAGAAAATTCTAAAATCCATTTATATTCCATTTCTACTTATGGCATATATAAGTGAAAAATAATACTTATAAACTGATTTGAAATAGATTATTCAAGTTGTGAATCTTTTCTGTCAAGTTACACTTTATCATTTTATTCGAATTATTTTAAATATGAAAATGCAATTAGCCTCTACACATAATAATTAAAACAGGTGGTGAATCCGCCTACATGATCATGTTCTAGTTCAAATTATAATATTAAAAGATATTTATCTAAAATGTGTTTTCAATTATTTTATTTAATAGGCAAAAGAAAACTTTTATAGTTAATAATTAAAAAAAGGTAAAAAGAATTTGTTCTTTATCTTTATTCCATTTATATAGTTAGTTATATTCTGTAGCCATGGTGGTAGTGCAAGGGTATTTATAGATTATTGTGACGTCAGATATATTAAATTTTCATATGAGAGCGTAAATGTGTAAATGATCGATCTTAATTAGAAAAGAGCATAATTATAGAAGAGCTATAGTCAATTAAGAGAATATTATATAGCAGAAAGAGCAATGCTATTGATGTAATATTGAGTGTCAGAGTGAATTATCTCGATGCAATGTGAAGTTAAAAGATCTCGTATCCAAAAATTTTGTATAAAAGTATGCGATTCTGTCATGAATAAATTTTTTCTCATGTGTCTATCTTATAAAATTTAAAATACTTAGTAGGTGATTTCAAAGTCGAAAATAACTTTAGTATCCCTCAATAATTATAGTATGATTGTTTAAATCATAATTATAATTCGTATAACGCACATGATATTATCCGATATATTATTATTATATATATCTAAATAATAAAAAAGTTACATTTGGGGGTTTTTTTTTCTTTTTTTTTTTTTTTTAGTAGAATTTAGTATTTAATTTCTTTACACAATATATTTATTTTGAGTTCATTATATTTGCATAAATTTAATAAATTTAGTGAATTAATAGAAAAATTGTTTATTATTGATATTATAAAAATTTTTGATTCCATTCGCAAGTGAATATTGTATTCTAACATAAATAAGCACAACCTCTCTACTCCGTTTTTTTAAATATCAGATTAATGGGAATAACTTGGCCAAAGATCTTATTGAAATTTCCACTAATATGACATTTAAAAAAGTGGATAGAGACGCAGTACTTATTTACGATAGAATACGATATTTAAGTTTCACAATGAATAATTTAGCCCCTGAAGAATTATGATGTTACGTTTCAGCATTGATCAGTGTGATTGATTGTCTAGTATTCTGTAATACAATATCAGACGTTCTATCAAAACATAATAAATTATGCACAGTCAACTTTATCTATTCTCGTCGCAGTAAAAACTTAAAATCAATTTCTAGGTTTTATTTTCACGTACTCATGAAAAAACGCCACACAATGTCATAATTCAATAATTCTATCACCAACTATACGTTCAGTTCCCCTGCATCGATACAATATTCTTGCATCAATAGGAATAATTTATCAAATAACATAGCTATTCATCCATTAATTTATTTTAACCAATTATCTATCAGATGTCAGAATTCAATAACTAAATGGATAAGGATCCTGTGAAATCCCTTTAAAGCAAGATACCGATGAAACAGATGGTTTGCTTGGCATTTATTTAAACTTAATTAATCTCGTAATTTTAAATTAATTCTATATGAGCTAGGTGCTACAGAAAAGCGGGGAAATCGACATGTTATAAATTTATAATGAATCATAAGAAAATTCAAACTTTAAAGAGCTATATTACAAAATTTTATTAATACAACTGCTTTCATGTTCTAAGTGAAAAATGATCCTAATCTTATTCGTGTAAAAAAACTTTTTTTGAAATTTGTCGATTTTCCCTTTTCTGTAGCACTCTGCCCATATGAATCCTTTTGATAATTATTTTTTCATATGGATAAATATTATTCTTTCCTGGATTCCTGCTGGTGCGGACGGCTATACACCTATCGGACGTCTTAGTCAAAGTAGTGCCATTGTAGGAAATAGGCTTTACTTTCTTGGTAGCGCAATAAGTAAACAAGCAAGTGAAAATATTTTTCTAGATGTAACTTTTTCGACGTTAAATACATCAAATCCTCCATGGTCTCAAACAAACTCTCGAGTCCCGACTAATTCTGCATATGCAAGTGCATGTGTAGGAGGTCCCAATAATAATAATATATATCTTTTGGAACATCTTAATACAACTAGTGGTTTTAGTAATTATACTATAGTATATGCCTTTGATACTGTAAACAAATCATGGAGTATTCCTAATATAAGCGGAATAATTCCTGTAAGTCGGGTACAATTTCAAGCTGTTAATGACGCTAATGGCAAGATATATATGTATGTTTATATTTCCTATTTTTATTTTCTATCCTTATTTTTTAGCAAAGTTGGTACGTATATATTTTTTTTTGATAATTTAAATTTCTTAGGTTTGGAGGATTTTTTGGTTCTAGTTCTGATGGTGAACTTCTTAATGATATTTATATTTTTGATACTTTAAAATTGACTTGGACACAAGGCTCTAATGTTAATGCGCCAACTCCACGTGCTGACTTTACAGCTACACTTTTAAATAATGGTCTTATAATTTATATAGGAGGTGATGTTGATATGTTCAAGGTAATATGATTAAAGTAAATTTAAGCAAATTTAAGTATTTTAATAATGTTTACTATTTTAAAATTTTATTCACAAGTTAGATTCCGATTTATAACACTAATAATGACTCATGGTCTACAATGGTAATGTTCTTGGCAACCTTTTAATTTGTTGAATATTCGTGAACATTCACGTTTTCTTATATAATTTATTAGATTGCTGATGGTAATGAATTAAGTCCTAGAAGTCGCTTCACTGCTGTATTATCGCCGGATGGGCATGTTATAATCTATGGTGGAACGGGTCCTACAGATCAAACCGAATTATTAGCTTCATTAGACACAACTGTTAATCCATATATATGGTCAGCTAAACCTATGATTGGTAACAATGTACCACCCCCACTTGTATTACATTCTGCAGCTATAGTTGATAATTTTATGATTATAGCATTTGGTAATTATGAAATTCATTTAATTTATTTGAAATTTAGAAAAAACCCCGATTAATATATTTTAATTTATAAAGGGTCAAGAGGTATAAATTATGATAATAGTACTTTTGACATAAATAATTTGAATACACAACTATACCTTCTTGATACTCGAACTTACATGTGGGTTACAGACACACTACAAAATTTTAATTCAAATATTTCATCTAATAATACGCATACATTAAGTGCAATTGTGATTGTAGCGATTTCTATAGCTTCCATAGTTTTACTCGAAATAGTTGGCCTTATAATATATTTGCTTTACAAAAGAAGTACACCGAGTAAATTTCCTAATATGCAAGTATAAATATATATTTTGTGATAAAAATAGTTATTTAATAACGAAAGATAAATTATCTATCTATAATAATATAGTGTTTTAAGTAACTTAGCAGATTAAAAGCAGTTTTTTTTTTTAACCCTTGGCATGATCACCGCAGGACGCCATTTGATGGTTGAACCTAGGTGCTGCATAACCTCGATTTTGATTGGCTAACGGCCGAGGTTCTTCAAAATTTTGGCCCACATTACATAATTGTTTACTAATTTCCGGCCGGAATTACCTTTTTAAAAATAAACACACATTATGGTAAATTTGGCCCAGACTTAATGGGCGGCTGCGATTTCATTAGTAAAATTATGAGTAATTTCGGCCTAATTTTTTAATCGTCGCTCTTAGCTAATCAAAATCGAGGATCTGCCACAAAAAATACGCGGCAGATCCTCGCTTTTGATTGTCTAAGAGCAACGATAAAAAAATAGACCGGAATTAATCACAATTTTACTAATTAAATCGTAGCCGCCTATTAAATGAAAATTCTTTCTGGGCAATTTTACTATTATGCGGGCTTTTTTTAAAAAAAATTTCTATTTTTGAAAGAATTAAAAAGTTGTACGTACATACTGTTCGCTAAAATTTTTCAGGTATTTTATAAATGGCACATCACTAGTGTTGATCAAAGTCAGGCGTAAAAACAGAATGTTTTCTCCGCTACGCAGTGTTTTCATTAATGTTTCTTTTTTTTATTATTCAGAGTGATCATGAAAAATAGGTCATTTAAGAAAAAAAAATCCACTACTTGATTATCTTATAGATAACTTACTTCGCTTCATATGATGAACTCAAATTTTGTTATTTTCTACCGAAATGGATGAATTTAACCCTATAAAAATATAAACGTTTACAGCTATTTTCATAATTCCTGGAACACCTGATAAAAATTGGCCGAATAATTTTTTAGCTGATTCGATTAAGTTTGTGATTTCGGAATAATTATACATGGGTGCCTAAATTATTTTTGAAAAATCGTATTTTCGGCAAATATTTCAGCATTGCAAAATTTTTTTTACGAAACCCTTATATTATATGATGTGGTTTGATGAAAAGAGTTCGAAAAAGTACAGCAATAATTTCGTCAAATATGAAAATTAATTTTGGCACTATGTAAGACTAATTTCGGCTGCCTAAATGCTGTAATTACTTTTTTATTAAGATGGGCAATTTAGGCACCCATGTATAAGCATAATAGATTCAACATATGGGTGGAAATTTTTAATTTTTGTAAATTGAATGATGAGATTACATAGAATTTGAGCCAATAGTATATATGATATAATGTGATTACTAAGATAAAAGTGATTATTTACCAGTGATTGTAAAATTACTTATGAACTGCTTATGAGTTACTTATTAGTTTTTATACACTGTTCATGAGTAAAGTAAAGTAACCAAAAAACAACACACATATAACAGAATTTTGATTTTAGCGTTTCGAATTTTAATAATCACAACTAGTGCTTGGGTCTGTTCGAAAAATCCGGTGGATTTTCTATTAGATATCCGTTCATATCGGATAACGAAAATATATTTGCAGATAGTCGGTCCTCTATTAAACTATCCGATACTTCAATTAACAATAATGATGCATTAATATTGCCATTAATAAATAATATATATATATTTGGATATCTATTAAACTATCTGATACTTCGGTGCAAACGGAAAATGTGTACCAGGTTGGTGCGCCATGGTGGCTTGATACTTCGGAGGTTCAATTTTTATGTTGATAGATACGTATACTTATTTAATACTTCACTATGACCAGTTTATAAAATAAATCAATTATTTTATGGTATTTTCAAATTATAAAATAATTGAACTATTTCATAAATCTGAGATAGTAAAGCATAAAATAAAACCGTTATTGCATACTTCATATGCAATAACTATATAATATATAACATAATATTACGAAATATATATATATATATTTTTTAAAAATTTTGATAGTCTTGCTAGTGCTTAATTTATTAAGACTATATTTAGTAATAGTAAACTATCTTGAACAATACATGTGTATTATTCTTAATCAAACAGAGAGCAAGTCTAACATCACCTGGCTGTAATAAACATGTTTATATGCGACTTGTTGCACCAACCTGTATACAAGTTAGATAAATTTTGTTAGCCTGTTAAAGCTTTTTTCTTCATATCTCCTTTCTTTACTGGGAGCAAAAAAAAGTGATAATCTTATATCTAATACAAAACTACCAATATTACCAAAAAGACAAAATGAAAAACTAACTAAAAAACAAATATAATGAAGAGAAATTTTTAAAGAAAAAATAAAAGAGAGTATAATAGGATGTAAAAAAAAGAAATTCAAAGAGAAAAGCTTGAGAGCCAACAAAGAGTGAACTATCTCTATAAAGAAATAATACAAATAAAATGAAAAAAAAATACACTATTATAACTCATGCCAGGTTTAAGAAAAAATTTTATAATAATTGCAATATTTGTATATCTCAACTATAGTAAAAAAAATCTAAATCTAATTACTAGCTATCTCCAGATATCTCTTATACTAGAGATCTAATCCCAGTCATATAGAGAACCCTATATCTACAGATTATATTACATATTATATCCACTAATAAACAAAATATATAGTTGCATTCCTGAATATGTCTAAATTTGAAAGGTAAACAATGCTAATTTTTTAGAGAAGATAAACCAAATTGCTCACTTTTTGTTGAAAATTTTGGAGAAAACCAACTAAGCAAAAAACATCTAGAGAAAGAGACTAATATCTATATAATGACTTAACAACTCCTAAACTTTCTTCTAGAAAAGAGGTGGGCACTTATACTTTCTTTTCGGTACTCTAAGCCTATTAGCAAGTAGCATATAAGAATTACGAAATATATTATATAATATTACAAAATTTATTTTATAATATTACAGAAAAATATTAGAAATATTTCATAATAATTCAAAACTATTCAAATAGATATAAAAAGTATCAAAACAGCAAATTATTTATAAACTAAAAGATAGTTAAGAAAAAGCAAACCAATTTAAATTTATCAATATAATATTTGGGAGGTAAACAATACTGATTTTTTGGAGGAGGTAAACCAAATTGCCTACTTTTTGTTGAAAATTTTGGAGAAAACCGGCTAAGCAAAAAACATCTAAAGAGAGACCACTTGCACCTAAAGAAAGTAATTATATCCATGTAATGACTTAACAACTTCTAAACCTTCTTTTAGAAAAGAGGTGAAGCACCTATACTTTCTTTTCGGTAAGTAATAAACTCTGAGCCTGTCAGCAAGTAGCATATAAGAATTACAAAATATATTATATAATATTATAAAATTTATTTGTAATACAGGATTTTTTGACCTATTTTGTTTTTTTAACCAATCAAATTCGTTTAAAATACTAATCAAATTCATGTTTCAATCAAATTAGTATATTTTGATTGAAACATGAATTTGATTAGTATTTTAAATGAATTTGATTGGTTAAAAAAACAAAATAGGTCAAAAAATTCTGTATTATGGAAAAATATTAGAAATATTTCACAATAATTTAAAACTATTTAAATAGATATAAAAAAGTATCAAAATAGCAAATTATTTATAAACTAAAAGATAGTTAAGAAAAAGCAAACTAATTTAAATTTATCAATATAATATTTGGAAGATAAACAATACTGATTTTTTGAAAGAGGTAAACCAAATTGCCCACTTTTTGTTAAAAATTTTGGAGGAAACCGGCTAAGCAAAAAACATCTAGAGAGAGACCACTTGTATCCAAGGAAAGTAATTACATCTATATAATGACTTAACAACTCCTAAACCTTTTTCTAGAAAAGAGGTAGGGCATTTATACTTTTTTTTTAGTAAGTAATAAACTCTGGGCCTGTTAGCAAGTAGTATATGAGAATTATAAAATATATTACATAATATTACAAAATTTATTTTATAATATTATAGAAAAATATTAGAAATATTTTACAATAATTTAAAACTATTCGAATAGATATAAAAAATATCAAAACAGCAAATCATTTATAAACTAAAAGATAGTTAAGAAAAAGCAAACCAATTTAATTGATGATTCTCCAGTCAACTGATGCATAATCATAGTAAAAAGTGACTCAGATTACTATATAAATTTACTATAGTGCGAATGTGGCATTTGCCCAAGATAAACTTTTTTTTATACTAAATTAATCATCTTTCTTGCTTAAGAGACTTTTGTAAGATGCATCTAATGGTGGTTAGAGCATCAAAATCAGCCTGGTAAGTATTAAGATATTTTTAAAAAACCTCTCTTTTACTATGTAAATTTCTTTGCAAACAATAGTATTGTTTGCAAAAAAATTTAAAGAAATTT